GCCTCATTATGAATAGCATTATATATACAATGCTAATCTATATTATTATAATATATTGCCATATAAATAATAATGTCATTATAATTAGAAATAATAATTGTATCCATTATAAATAATAATATTCATGTGATTTTAATAACTGCCACTTTACTAAGAAGTCCTCACTTTCCCAGTTTAGGGAACTCCTGTTATTAAGATCACATTTCCACAGAGTGTATAGGACAAAATAAATATCTAACTCCTTATACTTTAACAGTTCAGGAACAATTTGAAAACTAGCATAGGGCTATTGCAAAATGTCTTGCTTCATTTTTTTTTGTTTTTTGTTTTTCTTATTTTATTGAGAAACAAGTAGCAATGAGACAGTTTCAAAACTGATTAATAGGACAGTTTCAATAATTAATACATTGTACATGCTAATCTTCTTAGTGGCTATCCATAGTACAAGATGCAGACAGGATATCCTGTCCAAACACTATTGGTACAAATCTTTCTTCTCATTGAATTAAGTGAAAGTAGCTGTATATCTATCCTAACTATTCTGCATATACAGATACAAAATGGTCCTTCCTTTGTATCCCCTTTTTTTGTTTATTCCTGTCAGAGATGGGTATTCCATTGGCATCTAAATACTATAGGTGTATGAATTCAGCAAAACAATCCAACACGGTCCAGCAGTCCACACTAGTACAGTCCCAATAACTGAAGTGTCTGTGCTAAAGTCAGGCACAAATTTACTTAAACTTTAACTGAGTTTGAGCATAGCTCCCTTACTTCCTGTTTCTCATGGATGCTTGCATATGATCTGCATTTTTATTACCACCTTCACCAAACCCTAGCTTCTGAAAAATGTGACAACATCAAAAGCAACATAATACAATCCCAGGTTGAGATTATGAAGAAACTAGCTTGTGTGATGCCCATTTTCCTTGAAAACTCAAAATTCACCTCCTGGGTTTGCTGAAGCATGAAGGGGCATCTCAGCACAGTTTGGCAGCCATGTTGCCAAATTGTTCCTAATAATTGGTGCTACTCATATAACAGTATCATGAGGACAAAAAACTTAATAAAGCTTTAAAGATGAAGAAACAAAATTTTTAAATGGATTATTTGTGTAAAATTTGCCTCTAACATGGAAAGTCATATTTTAATCAAGATTTCCAAAGCCTATATTTTCAACCACTCCTCTCCAGTGAATAAAGTAGGAGAAAACGGAATTTTATTTTATTGGCCTCCTTGTAGTTCATATCCAAATCCCACCCATAGTATCTCCTAAATTCAGACATGAGGCTTTTTGAAGTTGAAAGGATCATGGGAATACTATGCTCATTGGTGAATTAGTCCATTGATGATGTCAAAGGTACTGTGCTGTTAGGAGGTGAAGGCACATGAGAGGTTGTCACTGAGCTATGATTGGAAGGGTATAATTTTGTCCCTGGATCATTCTCTCTTTCTCTGTCTCTACCTCTCTCCACCTCTGTCTCTGTCCAGCTCTGCTTTCTGTCTACCATGAGGGAACAGGTTTCTCTCAGCACAGTATCTTACCTTGGAGCCAGCTGAACATGGACTGAGAAGCCCCGAATGGTGAGTCAAATTAAATGACTTCTTTCAATGGTTGATGTAAGATACTGCATCTCAGGGGAGAAAAAGCTGCCTGATCTAGATCCAGATCTCAAGGTTCTTGGAAAAATTCTTGAAATTTCAAAGTGATCATAACATTCTAAAATCTTTAAAGTGCCTGTTAGTTAAGCAAATAAAAGCAAACATGCATCACAAAAATTGGAGATAATCGAGTGTTCTTATTCCTCGGAAACAGTGGCTGTCAAGAGCCACTGCTGCAGCCGATCCAGGGCTTTGCATTCTGTCTCAGCACATATTAACCTTTTCCCTTAATGTGCTTTAGATCAAACCAGTTTTGTGTTTTATAAAAGCACGTGGTAACTTTGCTTTCTTTTTTCTCCCGATTGGGAGGTTGACAGAGATCAAAAGTAGACGTAAACGGTATCCTTTGGATACCCATGACGGTGCCCTGAGAAACAGGATTGCAAGCAGCTTCCAGAAAGTTTAGGTCTAACAATGAGCCTGCAACCTAAGCAGCTCCTATTCAGTGTTCTGCCTATGCAACTTCAGTTACAAATTCTGTCAAAGCAGCAGAGCCCAGCAGACAGGGTGGAGCGGAAATAAATATGTATGCCAAAATCTCCTGCAAGGGGAGAACAAGGTTGTCTCTACTCCAGGGTGGAATTGGCTCTGTTACAATTCAAACATCCCATAAAAATGCCTAATGATGCGTTTTCACAACCCTTGCCCATCAAAATTCCCACGTGCCTGATCATACAATTGTAGCGCTAATGGATCAGAGTGAGGAGAGAGATTTATTACCAAATTAATGGGGAGATGCTCACATACCAATAATGCTTATAATAGATGGAGCATTTATAATGTGCCAAGATCTATATGAAATATTTTACATGCATCTGCTCCACTCCCCAACAACTCTGAAGAGTACAGATTAGCAGCGTCACAGACAGGAAAGTGAATTGCAAAGCTTCACAGCCTTTTGTGAGTGGAAGAAACAGGACTGTGATATAAATATGAAAGAGCCAGAGCCCATGGCTTTAACCACTTATTCTTTTGTTAAAATAAACAGATAACAGTCAAACCATTTCCACTGAAACATCTGTGTTTCCGTTTGTGACAAGATAGTAAGAGACGGCATTGCTCAGATCCCAGTGAGATGTTGATTTGGAAGCTCTGCCTTTCGATTTCTACTCAGCAGCCAACACCCTTGGGTGAAAGAGAGACGGCATGATTGATCCTTCTCTGTTGGCTCCCTGAGAACATCTGGCATGGGCCCTGGGAAGGTGCACGTTGTGGGGGCTCTGCCTATCGATGATCTAGCTCCTCATTAGAGGATTTAGACAACTGATTTTGCTAAGTGCTTCCTTAAGCCTGTGTGGAAAAAGACCCCGACCTCTTCTGTGTACACTAGTATGTTTGACAAGATTAATGTGTATATTTTCAATAGACAAACTCTTTCAGTTCTAAGTACAATGACACCAATGAAAAGGAAAAGGAATATGTATGTTGAGATCACATGAAGAACATATAGCTATGATTTTATAATTTTAGTGAAAACATAAAAATAGGTTTTTAAGTCACTCCCAACAGTGTTTGTGCATCAGTACAGTTTTAAAACTGACAGTCTTCTAAAGATTCTAAATACTGATTTATCATTTTTAGGATGGGTATGGCCTTTTTATTATGATGAAAGAATATTGTGTCCTAGATAAACATTGTCAGAGGGAATTTGTTATTCAAACGATATAAACACTAGCTTGTTTATTCTTTTCCTTCTTTTTTAAATTATAAAGGAAATAAACATGCATATTATAGTTTTTCACATCTGTAATCTCTGCACTCTGGGAGGCTGAGGCAGGAAAATCACAAGTTAGAGGCCAAATGGGGCAATGCACCAACTTAGCAAGAGCCTATGATAACATAATGAAAAATAAATAAATAAAAAGGCCTGGAATATGGTTAAGTGATGGTACTTGGTACAATTCCCAGTAACACACACACACACACACACACACACACACACACACACACACATGCTCATGCATGCACGCACACACCCTCCCCACAAAAATACACACACATTTTATTATGTCACTCATCAGTAGGGTTAGAGTTAAAGTCCTGGCAGCATTTTTACTAGCCTATACTCAGAACACCCATAGACAGTTATATTCCTCATGAGGAAGATGAAAAAACACATCAGTTCATCTCTAGGGTCCACCCCAAGTGGCTGAAAGTAGGGAAACATTAAACTACCAAGTGAAGGAAATAATGGAAAGTAAAGGAAGTAATGTATCTCTTCCATAGTAAATGGAAGAGATAGAATACATGATACAGGTATACACATCACACAAATATTTACCACTTAAATGTTTTCATTGGCTCCAGATGACCTCTACCAGCTCGAGATGGGATCACAGTTCAGGAAATTTTCAGTTCTTGCTCTTCCTTTTAGCTGGAGTATTTATTTCCTTATTATTATTTTTCTCTTTCAGTACAAGGTCTCATTGTGTAGCTCAGACTCATAGTGATCCTTCCATCTCAGCCTCCCCAGCACTGGGATTACAGTTGTGCACCACCAAGTCCAGTTTCAGCGTCAGCAGGGCATGTGATACCAGGGACCGAACCCAGGTCCTTGCTCCTGCCAGGCAGGTGTTTAGACCACCAAGCTATCTCCCCAGTCCTATTTCCCTATTCTGACCTTGGATTTGGTCATGTGACTTAACTTGACCTTTGAACATTAAGCAAATGTAATCCAAGGAGAGACTTCAGACATCAACACAGTTTGTTTTATCTTCTGTGCATGTCAGACTGTTTATCCTGGATCACCAAGGCAAATGCTCTATGATCAAGGAGTTTTGAGGGTCAAGTTGTTACTGTCTTTACCCAGTATAAAATTTCCATTTCAGAGCTTTTCTGCAAGCAAAACTTTTCTCTTATTTCTTTTATCTGACTTGTAATTCAATCTAACATCTATGAGTCCCTCAGCCAGTGAGTAAAGAAGGAGTGGACTGTCTGCTTATGCAACTATCAGCCTACCTGTGAGGACAGGGCTAAGATCTGGTTCTACACAGCTGTCTACTTGCAACCTGGAGGCCTACTCACTCTGATTTCTTTCTTTTTTTTTTTCTTTTCTTTTCTTTCTTTTTTTTTGTATAAAACTGCATCTTCTTTAGTCACATACTTTAATTTCAGAACAAAATAAACAAAAAAATAAGAAAACAATACACAACATCCAACTCTGCTGTCAAATTACAGAGGGGATGGGGTGCAAGGCCCTTACTTTCTGATTTCAACACAGGGCAGGAGAAATTAGTTACTAGACTCAACAGAGCAAGAGGTGGGACAGGGCCACTCAGGCTACTGAAGAGCTGTGGGGACACTACACAGAGGGCACAGGTTTCCCACAGTGGTAGCTCCTAATCCACTCCTTCCATCCAGAATGAACACTCATCCCCTTCAAGGAGAGGGATCTCATCAGGAACAGCAGCACTGGGCTCCTCTGCAGTCACCTCATCTTCATCGATGCCCAGGCCCAGCTTGATCATGTGGTAGATACAGTTGGAGTGGGTCTGTGGGTCCTCCAGGAAGAAGCCAGAAGACGACAGTGCTATCTGGAACAGCAGCACCACCAAATCCTTGACAGCTTTGCCATTCTTGTCAGCTTCAGCCTTCTGCCTCAGGGTCTCCACAATGGGGTGGTTGAGGTTGATCTCCAGGTGCTTCTTGGCTATCATGTAACCCATGGTAGAATTGTCACAGAAGGCCTGGGCCTTCATGATTCACTCCATGTTGGCTGACCAGCTGTAGGTGCTGGTCACAATGCAGCAGGGTGAAGACACAAGCTTGTTAGAGACTGTCACCTTCTCAACCGTCTTATCCAAGATTTCCTTCATGAGTTTGCAAAGGTTCTCAAACTTGGCCTTGCTCTCCTCCATCTTTTTCTTTTCCTCCTCATTCTCAAGCAGCTCCAGGCCTTCTTTAGTCATGGAGACCAAGCTCTCCCCATGAAACTCCTTGAGTTGCTGCACACCGTCCTCATTGATAGACTCAGTCTCGTACACCACCTTGAAACCCCATTGCCTCACACACTCCACAAAGGCAGAGTTGGGCACCTGTTCCTTTCTCTCACCAGTGATGTAGTAGATGGACTTCTGCATCTCCTTCATGCGAGACACCTACTCAGACAGGGATGTCATCTCATCTCCAGACTGAGAGGTGTGATAGGGCAACAGTTCAGAAAGGCGTTGCCTATTAGTGGAATCCTCAAGGATTCCAATAGAACTACAAGAAATTCTCTGAGGCATGCTCTGATTTCTGATGTTGGCTGATCTAGATACTCATACCTTAGCATGGCTCTCTCATCTCTGACATTTTCTACTCTGTGTTCAGGTAAATTCAATAGTCTCATGTATGGGGCTAGGGAGAAGGCTCAGTGGAATAAGCGCTTCCCTGGCAAGTGCAAGGGCCTGAGTTCAATCCCTGGTTCCACCGAAAAAAAAAAATAGTCTCATGTAGGCAAGTAGGCTTCTACCCAGCTATATTCCCATACAGCCAAGACACTGGTCTTTTGTCCTAAATCCAAGTGATAACCTCTGCTAGTAGTTTTTCTCTGTCAGAATTTTGAGGAACATGACAAAACATAAAATACTCCCAAATGGCATCTACACTGTACCTTCAAGGCCCTGGGAAAGTAACAGCTTCAGAAACTAGAGCTTAGTCTTTAGTTTTTCCTGCCTATCCAGGTTTATTTGACAATATTTGCTCTTCCCTAGTACCATAACAATGCCTTCATAAAATTCTCAGCCTAAATTCTCTGCCAGGGTTTCCAGACCTTCCCAGATTTATTCATTGTTCTTTGCCATCACAGGCAAGAAATTTAAATAAAGATAATCACAGCTGGGCCGGTGCAGAGGACACTAATTCACTCACCATCAGGGCAAAGATCAAGATTTCAAGTTGTTTCCTTCACATGAATCTGGGAGTCCAGTAAAAAAATATAAATTTTAAATTGAGCCACTTATCAGAGGCTTTCATATTTACGTTCTCAGTTGTTTTCAGGTCATCAAAGAGGAAGAGAAAGAAAATAGGAATCGATGTGATACATTTCTCATTATTGCTACCATATTTCACTTATCAAGTCCCTGATCTCACTTTTCTTTCAAATGATGATGCCCAACAGCTAAATGTGATTGGTCATTTAGATGTTCAATGATCATTTATAGAATATAAATGTTGTAAGAACAGGGTTTTGCTCACTGCAAAGAAAATAATATCATTATTTTTAATTGAATGAATTGATATTAGTAAGTCAAAGGATTATTTTTCCCATCTTAATTTTGACTAGGAAAGATCTGACAACTTTGGAAGTGACTCAAAAGCCATAGCTGGATGTTACTTGTTGTTAAATATTTTCCCACTTCAGGTTTAATCTAGTTTAGGATAAGCTCTTTTCCTTGCTTGGAGTAGAAACATAAAACATCATATATATATATGTCTAGCTCTTTTTGTTATTCAAATATCTATATTTTTTCACAAACGTAAGTATAAACTTAATTAAAAATTAACATGTTCATCATATTTAACAGTTTTTATTCATTAAAAGTCAATAACCCATTTTAAGTAAAAACAAATGAACAAAAAACCCTTGTAAGGTCCTTTTTTCCTAACCAAGGAAATGCAAAATTATTTTGAATATGCAGGTATAATTTTCATGACATATTTTTCCAGAATAATCATCGAACATTGATTCACAGTTATAGTCACTTCACAATCTTTGAGATACTTAACTTCCACAAGGGAATTAGTTTGTTGAAAGCCCTGGTTAATTTCCTATGGAAATATAAATGGGCCAGTTCAATTTGTAAAAGGAACTTCATAGATATGAACAATCATTATTGATTTAGACAAATTAAAAGATAAGCATTAATTTTAGCAATTAAATTAAAACTACCGAATCTGTCCTGGCCTCCTCTCATCCTTCCGTGTCTGTCTCTACCACTCAAGCTGAAGATCACAAAGACATTTTGGAGCAATGAATGAGATCAAGTCTCCCTTCAATAGCTCTCTTCATTCTCCTCTCATATATTAACCAAAAACTTGATTTGAGAAGAGAAATGCAGCATTTCACCCATAGAAGATGTAAGGTTAGGAGGTAAGGTGCACTTATGAATATCATCATGGGATGAGAAAGAGTAAGGAACACAGACCTTGTTCACTACATTCACTGGATTTGAAGTGGTCACTCCTGTGTATATCCACCCCCATGGTGGTGATTCACATGGCCTTCCTCTATATGGTGATCAGTGACATAAACATCAACCCGCATCAGCTTAAATCGCAGTGGGATTTATTCCACCTCAGTGGGGGAAAAGCCATCAGTGGATCAGTTGTGTTTCTGCATCTTAGAAACAGGGCCACTCACTGCCTTGCATCCAGTGTATCTTGGCAGCAGGACCTAAAGAATAAGTGTTCTTGGAAAATAGATGCAGTTTCTCTCTCTCAGGAGAAGAGCAGGCTTATTTGATATATAGAGTAGCAAGGACAAAAATTGTTTCGCCTCGGTTACTTTTCTCAAGCTGAGACAAATATCTACACTCAAAGTTAAAGGATGGAAAATTTATTTCAGCTCAAAATTCTTAGAGATTCAGTTCATAGTCAGCTGGGTCTGAGACAGTGGGGCATGGCAGAGGGATGTGGCAGAGGCGAAATAGTCCAGGGCAGAGCAGGAAAGAGGCAGCAGAGTAGCAAGGGGCTACAAACATTTGGGGTGGTGCTACCCACACCTCAGACAGAGGTTCTGTTTTACATGAATCCATTCAGCCATACCCAGAACTATGAGAACTCCTAGCATACCCTTAATCCCAATATCCACACCCTAGATCCATCCAGTTCCAAAAAAGTCCCACCTATGTCAGCATATGAAGCTTTCAGGGACATCTAGTTTCAACCCATGACACTCCTATGGTTGATTTATGAATTAAAACATTCTTTGCTACCTACTCCAGAATCCTTGCCTCAATAAGCATCCATAAAGATGTGGTAAGTTAACCTGTTAGCATGCAGTGAGGGGATGTTTTCAGATACTTTATGGATCTTGACATTCTATTATGGAAACAAAAGTTGGTGTGTAATCCAAGCTCAGGCTTCGGGGATCTGTGTTGCTTCCTGAGGCCTCCAGTTCTGCCTTGTTGTGTGATCTTGGAATTGGTTTTAGCACAGGACTGGGGAGGTATACATTCCCCAAGAAGCATCAAGATATGACAGTACCTATCACAAAAGGAGAGAGCGTACATGTCTGTGTAATTCCAAAAAGCAAGAAAACCGTTCCCAGAAGGTGTGCCTCACCATCAGATGACCAGTGCTGGATCACAGGCCCATTCATAAATAAGAATGAGAGGATTAGGGGGACTTCATGTGCTGGTGCAGGGTGGAGGGGGGTAACCTCTTTCCTATAAGCCAAGTCAAGAGCAGATGGATGACAGACGAGGGTGGCTTGAGCTGCTGTGAGGTCCAAGCTTAGGAATGAAGGAAACAGAGGCTTACAAGGATGAAAGGCCACCCTTCTACCCTGGTGGTTACAGACTGTGGCAAAGGGAAATAAGACGACTTAAGGTGGGATGAGTTAAGAATGAATTCCTCTTTACACTGAGGTCTTGAAAAAAACATGTATGTTGGTCTTGCTTTCAACAGTTTCAAATAGATCTGTAAGTGACACTTCCCCTCAAAAACATGAATTTTTGAATTAAATGGCTGATATTTGATACTTAGTAAAATAGAGACATGGCTAAAATAAGGCTTAAAATTAAGCGAAATAAATTGGACACACAGGACTAAATACCACACTTTTCTCTGGTGTGAACAACTAGAAGTATAAATAAGGACCAAGATGTATAAAAAATATCTATTGGAAAATGGCAAGAAAAATATTCAAATGTGAGGGAAGCAAAGGAGAGGAGAGGAGAAAAGGACAGAAGAAAAAAACAGAAAGGAAAACAGAAGGAAACATGGAAACAATGCTTTTATAATTGAGGAGGGAAGAGGAGTAGGGAGTGGAGAGAAAACAAGAACCAGGATATATTATGTATAGATACAAATACCTTTAATGAGTGTGGTCATTATGTGTATCTTAAACTTACCAATTAAAAAAAAACTTAAAAATTCATTTTTTTAATTAAAAAATACTCAATAGCAACAAATAAAATGCTTAGATGTATACCTTTTTATGTAGGACAAATGCATAAAGGTTTGTCTCATTTATCTGACAATAAAACAAGATTGATTGATAAAGTTTAATAAATTAAGAGTTAAAAAAACTTATGGAAATGCTTCAATGATTAGAAATTATTTGCTTGACTGAAATGTAGCTTCCCTATTTTTCCCCATTCACAGAACCAGTAGGTTGCAGACAAATATGAGTGACACTTGCTTCATTTTGCCCTATTCTACTGCATGGAGCCTAAATTTCCCAAAGCAATTTGTCTCCCTATGATTGGAATGAAAATGTTTTGCAATAGTTTGCATTTTAACCTCACTAAGCCATGAGGTATCCATGCAGTTAGTAAACATTACCTGGGCTGTATGGGTGAGGATGATTCCAGATGAGACTGGTGTACGACTCAGTGTCTTGAGCATAGCAGACCATGCACAATGATGAGGGTGGGCCTCATGCAATCAGCTAAAATGTGAGTCAAACAGAAAGGCTTAGCTCAGTAGAATAAGTGCTTGCCTGACAAGTGCAAGGGCCTGAGTTCAATCCCTGGTTCTAAAAGAAAAAAAAAGGCTCAGTGAGAGGGAACTCTTAGCACCTACGTATCAGAGCTAACACTTGATTCTTTTCATTTTAAACAAAATAAAAATTTAGAAAAAAACAATAAAATAATACAGAATTTCAAAACATAACTATAGGAAATTAACAGTGTTTGTTATATTGCATATTGTTATCTTCAAAGTAGTTGCTCAAATTACAGGTATAGGCATGCACATTGATCAAAAAATTAAGCATTGACTGTTTTTGTCAATAAACCAATAGAAATTAGTAGTACAATTATCTTAGCTGTCGTGTGTGTGTGTGTGTGTGTGTGTGTGTGTGTGTGTTTGCATGTTTCCCTTTTTTCTTTTTTCCTTTCCCCCAGCCCAGTTGTTCTTTCCATTTGAACAGTGCCTTTTCATTCTACTTTATCTACTGTATCTTTAGGATCTTATCTACTCTTTCAGTTTCTTGTATTAGGGAGACAATAT